GCCTGCAACTCTTGGATCACATGTTGGCATGCACATACGTGGTCCGTCACACCAGACTCAGGATGAGGCCCTTCCAGCTCTGGTTGGCCTTGAAGTTTTCCCAGGCCACAGACAGGATGGACAAGGTCCTCACCATTCAGGACTCTGTGATCGCCTCCCTACGGTGGTGGTCTGCCCCAAACAACATGCTCCAAGGTGTCCCTGTTCAGGGACAGGGCCCCATTGTTGGAGCCGGTGTCCAGTGCGTCGGACCTCGGTTGGGGGGCCCATGTGGGGAACTTTCAGACCCAAGGCCTGTAGTCAGCTCAAAACCTGACCCTACGTATAAACGTCAAGGAGCTCAGGGCTGTGCAGCTGGCGTGCATGGCCTTCTGCTCACATGTGGAGGACAAGGTAGTCAGGGTCCTTCCAGACAACATGGCCTCGATGTTCTATATCAACAGGTAAGGTGGGGCCCGATCCTCTGCCCTCTGCTACGAAGCCCTCCGGCTGTGGGACTTCTGTATAGCCCATGGCATCCACCTGAAGGCCTTCCACCTACCGGGCGCCCAGAATGAGAGGGCGGATCGCTTGAGCAGGGACTTTTCCTCGCAACACGAGTGGTCCCTCCACCCGGAAGTGGCCCACCGGCTCTTCCGAAGGTGGGGAACTCCCCAGGTAAACCTATTCACGACTCGGCAGAACCGGTGATGCCCCCGGTTCTGCTCCAGGGGCGGTCTGGGGAGGGGTGTTGTCTCCGATGGCTTTTTCCTGTCCTGGTCAGGCCGACTTCTCTGCGCCTTCCCCCCATTCCCTCTAATCAGCAGGGTCCCGGAGAAGATAAAGATGGACAAGGCCTGGATCCTCCTTATTGCCCCGGCGTGGCCCAGGCAGCATTGGTACGGGACCCTTGTGGGCCTGGTGGCAGTTCTGAGCCACCGTCTCTGCCCCAAGCCTAACGCCCAACGAGGGGCGCCGTCTCCACACGCTTGATGTGCAGCGGGCTCTGGCTTTCTACCTCGAGTGGACCAAGCCGTTCAGAAAGTCCTCGTAACTGTTCATCGCCTCGGCTGAGCGCACGAGGAGCCAGCCGATTCCCACTCAGCGGCTTTCCAGTCGGATCACTTTGTGCATCTATTCCTGTTATGAGCTGGCGGCTGTCCCCCTGCAGCCCATTGTGAGGGCACACTCGACTCGGGTGCAGGCCTCGTTGGCTGTCTTCGTGGCCCACCTCCCCATCCAGGACATTCGTGGGGCTGCCGTGTGTTCTACGGTTCACACGTTCGTCTCGCACTATGCAATTGTCCCCCAAACCAGGGATGACGCCGGGTTCGGCAGGGCTGTCCTCCGTCCTGGGAACTTGTGAACTTCTACCCACCTCCAACAAATATAGCCTGGAACCACCTGTTGTTGAATACACATGAGCAATCACGCGAAGAAGAAAAGACAGTTACCTTTTTCGTAACTGGTGTTCTTAGAGATGTGTTGCTCATATCTATTCCACATCCCGCCCTCCTTCCCCTCTGTCGGAGTTTTCTGGCAAGAAGGAACTGACGAGTTGGGGTGGGGGGCACACAGATCCCCTTATACCACGCCAGGCAGGTGCCACTCCAGGGGTCGCGGGGGGCGCTCCCCCTCTATGGGTACTGCTAGGGGAAAAACTTCCGGCACTGGTGCAAGTGGCGAGCATTCACATCTGTTGTGGAATAGACATAAGCGACACATCTCGAAGAACACCAGTTACGGAAAAGGTAACTCTTTTTTTTCAGTTCGCCTAATACAAGTACTGTAGTGCAATTTCTTTATCATGAAAGTTGAACTTACAAATGTAGAATTATGTACAAAAAAACCCTGCATTTAAAAATAAATGAAAATTTTAAAGTCTGCAAGTCCACTCAGTCCTATTTCTTGTTCAGCCAATTGCTCAGGCAAACAAGTTTGTTTACATTTGCAGGAGATAATGCTGCCCACTTCTTGTTCACAATGTCACCTGAAAGTGAGAACAGGCAGTTCTTATGGCACTGTTGTAGCTGGCATTGCAAGATATTTACATGCCAGATGCGCTAAAGATTGATATGTCCGTTTATGTCCCTTTATGCATGGAGATTGCATTACAGTACTTGTGTGAGGTGAACTAAAAAATGCTGTTTCTTTATCGTTTTTACAGTGCAAATATTTGTAATAAAAATAATATGAAGTGAGAAGTGTACACTTGATATTCTGTGTTGTAATTGAAATCAATATATTTGAAAATGTAGAAAAACATCCAAAATATTTAATACATTTCAGTTGGTATTCTATTTAACAATGCAATTAAAACTGTGATTAATGGCGATTAATTGTTTTAATTAATCACGAGTTAACTGCGATTAGTCGGCACCTCTATTTATAATACATTTTAATAGCAAACTAAAGGCATTTCAAGAATTGAGCGCTGAAAATTTAGAAAATAAAAAATTATCCTATTCTAAGCCAGATGGCAATGAAAGACAACTGGGCCTTGATGCCAGAGTTCCTGCATTCCGCCTGTAATACTGATTTCACTATTAATGTGGGTTTGGGTTGGGGCCTCTGTGTGGAAATACAATGTTTTTGTTTTGGTGGACAGTGTTTCTTGTTAACATCTTATGAGTTATCTATCTTTCCTGCTGAGTTTAGAGTATATTTCCAGACAAAAAATACCAAAGTTGAGTACATATCAATTACTTACAGGTAAAAACACCTATTTACAAAAACAGTGTTATAAAACAAAACTAGCAATCAAAATTAAAGGGAATGCAGAGAAAAGGTGAAATTTCAAACATTGTAGAGTATGGGAATTCTTTTGCTCGTGACTGCTTTACATTTTTGTGGCTCTCTTTGGAAGGAAAAAAGTTAGTTCTACATGCTTTTTTAGAAAATGGTAATTTAGGTGCTTGAGTCATTTGGAGCCATTTAAAAATCCATGAGAGCCTCATGGGCTATCAAGAGGTCCATACTGGACCAGAGATCAATGTCCCCAGTATAGCTTTCACTCTGTCAGAACTGGCCACAGTTGTAAAGGGCAGGTTTTTCAAAGGCAGTTTATGCCTTTTTGAAACTCTCCCCTTAGATCCCCGAGTATTCCACTTCTTAGAAGTTATGAGAATAGTGTAAGGCCAGACTTGGCAAAGAAGCATTGGAAGAATTTTCAAAATATGTCAAGAACCTTTTTTTTTTTAAATGGAGTTCTGTATCTTGGAAATGGCTTTTCAGAATCACCTCAGGTTTGCTGTCTCTTGTATCTGCCTCTCTCCCACACTCAACTCCTCCACGCCCCAAAAAATAATAAAACTGAAACCCTGTCTCTTGTGTATAGACTTTTTCCATGCAAAATGTGAAGTTGAAATGACTTTGTGTCATTTAGAGGGAGGCCAAATGAGGCCTTAGAGTGGAAAGCTGGTCTCAAGCCTGACTATGGAGAGGCGACTGCCTCTTCCTCGTGCCAGTCCTCTACTTCCTTCACAGAATGACTAGTGTGCTTAGGATGACCATATGTAGTGTTTTGGCCGGGACAGTCCCCCTTTTCAGCTTGGTCCTGGCCATTTCTACCTTTTTTGCCAAAACTGAGCATTTGTCCTGGCCGCAGGGCAGAGCAGAGAGTGGCGGCTGCTGTCCGGGGGTCAGCTGAAGGCAGCATTGCCTGTCAGCAGGAGAGTGGAGAAATTTGCTGCTGGCAGGCAGCGCTTCCTTCAGAGCTGACACCCCCCCCCCATCCCTCCCCCCAGGTGGCGTGGAGCTCAGCAGGTCAGCCCCAGCTGTGGGCGGCACAGGGCTCTGGTGGTGTGGACCTTGGGGAGGGGTCAACCCCAGCCCCACTGCAGGCAGCACTGAGCTCAGCAGGTCAGCCCCAGCTGCAGGCCAGCCCTAGCCCTGGGTGGTGTGAGGAGGGTGGCTCTGGCGAGCCCTGTGCTTGGGGGGGTGGGAGCGGGGAAGGGAAGGGAGCAGCACGGGTGAGCCCTGGGCCATCCCATATTTACTTTAAGAAATATGGTCACCCTAATGTGCTGGGTCTTGAGCCCAGCTCTCTTTGAGATGAAGGTCACAGTCAAGTTATTCCCTTCACTCTCTCTCTCATTTCCCTCCCTCCTTTCTTCCAACTCTTCCCCCCCCCCCCCCCCCCCGGTCATTCTGCTCAAACAGCAGCACTAGCCTCAGATTAAATTTGGCATTGTGCTACAACTCCAAGAGACCAGCCAAGAAACAACCTCTCCTACCAGTCAAATAAGGGTGTCCTGCACACCCAAAGCCAGTTTTGATCTGACATAGAGACACCCCTCTGTCCCATGAATGTCATTGTAGGCTGCTGAAGACATTCTGCTTTTGCCCAGGCCGTACATAAGATGGGACTCATGACCAGACTTGGTAGGTCACATAGTAATGAAGACTCAGCTGGGACACGTGTTTCAGGACTAGATGAGATGGAGTAGGAGGGTTGGGGGTGGGGTGCATGTGTGTCTCTGGTACAGTTTCCTGAAGGATGTTCCCGAAACTGTTGCTCCGTGAAAAATTGCATACGTCATAGTGTCCTGCTTGGTGATTTAGCCTCAGTCTTGGTTTTCATCAACAGCAAGAAAGGGGTGACTCTTCTGAGACTGATTTGAACTCAAAAAGTAATCACCCCCACCCGATCCTTAGTGTGGACCATATCTCCTACAGACTGCTTTCATACTGATTTGCTCATTTTAAGGCCATATTATCCCCTGTGCATGCTTACTACCATATAAGAGACTGGAAACACAGTGAGGTTACGTCTATCATATTTCAGTGGAATTTAAAGATGTGTCCATATATTGTTTTTTTCTCTCTCAGGGTCTCTTTATAGTTGTACAATAACATCGGGTACATTTATGCTCTAGATAGAGATAAAGTGAAGTGGAAGTGATTTGCTGAAGGCAGTTGAAAGTGTTTTGCTCTTTCATATCTTTCCTAAAAATGTTTGTAATTGTATAGTTTGTTGAATTCAAAGTCTTCATTTTTTGTTTTTGTTTGCTTGCTTGCAGGGGACACACTTAGAAGAACCTGTATGGGATCCTAAGGACTTAACAGATGGATGATGTGCTTACGATGATTAAGGTAAGGGAAAGAGTCACTTGTTTTGGCATCACCCAATTTCCCCTCTTCTTGAAGCAGGCCTTGGGATTTAGAAGGCAAATTATAGTCCTTGCTTTATTTAAAATTTACTAATAATCAAAGGTGGTATTGGGACACTGCTAAAGTACGAACTTGTTCTTAGGAATGTCTCTTTAAATGGAGAAAAAATTGTCTTGCATTTTAGGAATAACCTGGAACATATACAATGGAAAAAATACTATCGTCTTCCTTAAGGATAATAAGAAGCTCTTTAAATTGTAAAAACTTTTATTTGAAGAGCTCGGTACAGTATTTTTTGTTCTCTTGAAACTAAGTGGTTGAGTTTGCAATTCAGGTTCTCACTTGTCATTTTGAGCCACTAAGTAGAATATATTTTATTAGTCTATTTCCATCATATTGAAGTGCTGTGGTCAGCTAGTCTGTCCCCAGATGCCATGGTCGGTATAGAAGTGTTGCAACTGCTGATTAATTAGATACAGAAGGATTCTTGTTTTGCTGAAAACATGAATGTACTGGGCAAAGATTTGAAAAGCAAATATAAACGTACTCAGGCCTGGCATTTATTTATAGGTATTTTTGTGACACTCATCACTGTAGTAATTTGTATCTTGTCTATATTTACACTTTTCAGAAAGCTTCCTTTGTTTCCATTCTGCCACTGGTAGCAAAAATGGAATGTTTATGTAGACAGTGCACTTTCACCACCACGATCTGTGCAGAATTAGGTATCATAACAGTAAAACACCATTACACTACTCATTATTTCTATTATGGTAGCATTGAAAGAGTTTATTTGTCCCAGGCTTTGTACACACACACAAGCCGGTCCCTGCCCTGAGGAGTTTCTTGTTGAATTAGACAAGTCAAGGGGCAGGAGGGAAAACAGACAGAGGGTTCGCTGGTAGAGCTGGGAGGAGAACCCAGGTTTCCTGATTTTCATGGTAGTGCTCTATCCACGCTGCCTGTTCTAGCCGCACTTCCTGTTCTACATTAGTTCTGCTCTTGCAACCGTCTGGTGGAGCTGTACTGGAACTATTGTAGAGACAGCGAGAATTACCTTGTGTGTGTTGGCCGTCACTCCAGCAGTGTTCTGCTGACCACCAATTTATATTAAGCTCTCTGCAGATAATCCACTTAAAAAAAAAAAAAAAAAAGAAAATGTGAAATACTGTAGTGAGATTAGAAATATGAATTGTCAGTCAAAAAACTATACCCAATACAGTAGTTTAGAACTTTTTTCGTGATATTAGGATTCACTGATACTGTTTGGCACTGTGCAAGACAGAGGGCTAGAAACTGACACCCCTATTCATCTTGAGTAGTACTTTACTCCATGAAGAGTCCAAGAGGAAATTAACAGGGGAGGGGGGTTGTCTACTTGTGAGTAGGATATTCTGGATATAGGCAGGATGTTCCATGTATGGGTGGTGGTATGTGGTGTGGGCAGGAATATTAAATCCAGATTTGTTCTCTAGGTTTCCAGTTAGCTGTCCTTTCTTTCATTCATGGTTTGTATCATTACTTACCTTCTTTGGCATCCTTTCTTCTGATCCCCTTTGTCATGTGCAGCTCACATGGCCATAACTAGAAGGAGATGATTGAGACGGGCAGCACAATATGTCATGATGTTATGTTGCAGACATTAGACTGCGTTCATAGAAACAATGTTAGTTATGCACAGGAGAGACCTCTTAGGTCATTGTCCTTCTGTCAATAAAGAATTCTTACAGTATCTCCTTTTATGCTCGAGTTTTCCTTGGCTGAATGTTCCACAACCTAAGAGATTTCACCATTAGGTAACTTTTTCCTGTTGTTCAGTCTAAATGTTTCCTTGCTCAATTTCATCTTACAACTCCTAGTTATCCCCCCCACTGAACACCCTACATGAAGGCTCCCCTCCCTCTCCCACACCCACTTGCAGTTCACACCCTCCAAATCCAAAACGTGTAGTTAGTTATTCTTGTCCCTTATGCATTGCTTTATTACTCTAGACATATTATTTAAGTCCAGCCTCATTCATCTTTTTTTGCCTTTCTCTAAAGGCCTAACACAACTTAATCTGTTGTCCACGGAAAGACTGCCATTGCCTTCAGAGTGGTGATCAGCCTCTAAATTCCCACCAGTTTAACATCATTCCTGTCCAGAGGTACATGGAAGTGAGATTGCTCATGAAATCTTGCATACATGCCTTAAGGCACAGTGCCGCATTGTGGGCTGGATTTTGCCCTCTTACATGCACGCAGTCCGCAAGAATGTATCATAAATGAACATTTGATCCAGTGTGTCCATTCTTCGCCAGTGCAAGAAAGCTGCATGCTGTAAAACGGATGCTGTCTTTCGGTAACACCAATGGAAACAGTGAGTTTCATCGGTAGTGTTAGCTCACTGGTTGGTAGTTGGGGCAAGAGATGGAAATTCATGTTCTGACAAGAGCAAATGATTTACAGTAGGTTTGTGGATCTTAAATGTATTTGGACTTGTTTGGCTTAGGATAAGAGCTGTGTGGAATGTACTTGAGAGTGAATTTGCATGGATGATTCCTTTCACAAAATGAACATCTGTATAGGCATTCATGCCATGCTCCATAGTATCTGAGCATCCATAAGATGAGTCTGTATATGGTTCAAGCAGTGTCAAGAAGATGCCATGTTAAAGCCCATGTGGTTATCCTGCCTCTTGGTCTTTTTTTTTATTAAGTTAGATAAAATGCTAGTCAGTAGCTACAATCAAGGTGGTTCTCTGGTATAGACAGTACCATAGGTACACCTGGAGATATTCAGATACACCTCTCATTCCTTTAACCTCTTCCACAGTTCTGTTTGGTTTGCAATAGTGCTCAATTACATAGCTGGATGGAGTGATTCATAGAATCATAGAATATCAGGGTTGGAAGGGACCTCAGGAGGTCATCTAGTCCAACCCCCTGCTCAAAAGCAGGACCAATCCCCAATTAAATCATCCCAGCCAGGGCTTTGTCAAGCCTGACCTTAAAAACTTCTAAGGAAGGAGATTCCACCACCTCCCTAGGCAACGCATTCCAGTGTTTCACCACCCTCCTAGTGAAGAAGTTTTTCCTAATATCCAACCTAAACCTCCCCCACTGCAACTTGAGACCATTACTCCTTGTCCTGTCATCTTCCACCACTGAGAATAGTCTAGAACCATCCTCTCTGGAACCACCTCTCAGGTAGTTGAAAGCAGCTATCAAATCCCCCCTCATTCTTCTCTTCTGCAGACTAAACAATCGCAGTTCCCTCAGACTCTCCTCATAAATCATGTGTTCCAGACCCCTAATCATTTTTGTTGCCCTTCGCAGGACTCTCTCCAATTTATCCACATCCTTCTTGTAGTGTGGGGCCCAAAACTGGACACAGTACTCCAGATGAGGCCTCACCAGTGTCGACTAGAGGGGAACGATCACGTCCCTCATCCTGCTGGCAATGCCCCTACTTATACATCCCAAAATGCCATTGGCCTTCTTGGCAACAAGGGCATACTTTTGACTCATATCCAGCTTCTCGTCCGCTGTAACCCCAAGGTCCTTCTCTACAGAACTGCTGCCTAGCCATTCGGTCCCTAGTCTGTAGCGGTGCATTGGATTCTTCCGTCCTAAGTGCAGAACTCTGCACTTGTCCTTGTTGAACCTCATCAGATTTCTTTTGGCCCAATCCTCCAATTTGTCTAGGTCCCTCTGTATCCTATCCCAACCCTCCAGCATATCTACCTCTCCTCCCAGTTTAGTGTCAGCTGCAAACTTTCTGAGGGTGTAATCTACACCATCCTCCAGATCATTTATGAAGATATTGAACAAAACCGGCCCCGGGACCGACCCTTGGGGCACTCCACTTGATACCGGCTGGCAAGTAGACATGGAGCCATTGATCACTACCCATTGAGCCTGACAATCTAGCCAACTTTCTATCCACCTTATAGTCCATTCATCCAGCCCATGCTTCTTTAACTTGCTGGCAAGAATACTGTGGGAGATGGTGTCAAAAGCTTTGCTAAAGTCAAGGAACAACACGTCCACTGCTTTCCCCTCATCCACAGAGCCAGTTTTCTCATCATAGAAGGCAATTAGATTAGTCAGGCATGACTTGCCCATGGTGAATCCATGCTGACTGTTCCTGATCACTTTTCTCTCCTCTAAGTGCTTCAGAATTGATTCCTTGAGGACCTGCTCCATGATTTTTCCAAGGACTGAGGTGAGGTTGACTGGCCTGTAGTTCCCAGGATCCTCCTCCTTCCCTTTTTTGAAGGTGGGCACTACATTAGCCTTTTTCCAGTCGTCCGGGACCTCCCCCGATCGCCATGAGCTTTCAAAGATAGTGGCCAATGGCTCTGCAGTCACATCCACCAGCTCCTTTAGCACTCTCGGGTGCAGCGCATCCGGCCCCATGAACTTCTGCTCGTCCAGCTTTTCTAAATAGTCCCGAACCACTTCTTTCTCCACAAAGGGCTGGTCACCTCCTCCCCATGCTGTGCTGCCCAGTGCAGCAGTCTGGGAGCTGACCTTGTTCATGAAGACAGAGGCAAAAAAAGCATTGAGTGCATTAACTTTTTCCACATCCTCTGTCACTAGGTTGCCTCCCTCATTCAGTAAGGGGCCCATGCTTTCCTTGACTTTCTTCTTGTTGCTAACATACCTGAAGAAACCCTTCTTGTTACTCTTAACATCTCTTGCTAGCTGCGCCTCCAGGTGTGATTTGGCCTTCCTGATTTCACTCCTGCATGCCCGAGCAATATTTTTCTTCCTGGTCATTTCTCCAATCTTCCACTTCTTCTTGTAAGCTTCTTTTTTGTGTTTAAGATCAGGAAGGATTTCACTGTTAAGCCAAGCTGGTCCCCTGGCATATTTACTATTCTTTCTACACATCAGGATAGTTTGTCCCTGTAACCTCACTAAGGATTCTTTAAAATACAGCCAGCTCTCCTGGACTCCTTTTCCCCTCATGTTATTCTCCCAGGGGATCCTGCCCATC